TAACAAAACAACCAATTAAACAAGCTGAAGAATTTTCCTTTTTGAAGCTGACACAAACCTCTCACATCATTAGACCATCCAAGTACAGTGACAGGAAAAAAAACCCCTAAGGATCAGAGTCTCTTCTTGGATCACACTGATTTTCCAAAACATAGACCTTTCCTTATGGTTGTGGGAAACAGAAAATGTACCATGTGTCTAATTCTTTCAACTACGCCAGTGGTCAGCTGTTGCTACAATAGTATTTTATAGTAACCACATGTCATCCCATGCAGCACACAGTGTGCTGTAGGACATGTTGTTGGGGATGGAGACTGAAAAAAAACACATGATGAAGACATGTGACAAAATGACCTCTGCAGTGGAGAGCTTGATTGTGTGTGGGTCAAAGCTGTGGTGGAAAAATTGATGAATAATTGATTTTACTCTAATGGGTGCATTTGTGTGTGTGAGTGCACACTTGTTGATATTCACTGTACTGTACCTTTTGCGTAACAAAACATCACTACTTTGTAAACGTGTTTTCTTCTTTAATATTGTGTGAAAACAAAACTGAATAATTAAGTTGTGAAATCAGGTGATGGACAGCTTTGCTTTCCTGCTGCATGTTTCTGGTTACTGTTCCCCTGTTCAGAGAAACACTGTTTTGTATCAAGAATGGCAGGAAAGTCATCACCTCAACATGTCAGCCTGTCCATAGGTTCGCTGCTGACATTATCCCTGCAAACCTAATTAACAATATCATACCATCAGCCGCAATCCCTTCAACGCATGACAAGCAGCCAGGAGGGGAGTGTGAAAGTATTAATATTTATGGCTCCATTCAGTAGTGAACAGAAAAATGGACTAAATTAGCAAGTCTAATGCTTTGCAATGCTGTAATCCACTGCAAGGGGAGAAATTTGATACAGTACCCACTATCCAAATCATCGGTGGAGTGCTGCCATCAGGGTTGATTTTATAGCTGAGAGGCTCTATTTTGTAGTATTTACCTTGTTCATTCAGAATGGGATGCGCCTTATGAAGCTGTATAAACTACAGATGGTTAGGGCATCTGCATTATGGCATTCGCCTCTTTCTCTCCCTCTCCTCCTGTCTCATTCTCCATCCTACAAACTTTTAATGAGTCATAATCTGTGTAAGGCAGTGATTAGATTTAATGAGGTGCCAACAACCTTGGGTTGACTCAACTCGGCTGCAACATGCTCACTAATTTGAGATAGAGCACAGCCGAGCCTCGGACTTTATGACAGAAGCACCATGCAAGCAAATACAGGATTAAGGCTTTCAAAGTTCTTTTTTTTATTTCAAGACCCATAGTAATTGGCAGGGATGTCAAGTCTCGATCGGTAAGTTGGACAAGGAGAAACCTTCATATTAGCATTCTGTAGTCAAATTTTGTTCTTGCAGCTTCCCAGGAGTCTGAGATTCTCAAAGATATCAAAGATGGCTGTGAAGATGGAGAAGAGCAATGTGGACCTCTGAAGGGGAAACCAGTCAGGGAAAGACGAGACAGAATTTCTGATCTGTTACAGCCATCACACGCAGTAGTTGTACTAATCAAATTAACACATTATTACAAATATTGCATGTTTGTTGAATTTGTTGTATTCTAAAGTAAAGTAAGTGAATAAAAGTATAAAAATACAGTATGAAGACATAGGATAAGATGAATTATCTGCTCCAAAAAAATATCTCATACTTAATTATTTGATGCTTTCATTTCTTGTCAAGATAAAACATACCCACTTCAATCCTTGTGACTTACAATACCAGAGATTCATTCACTAATTTATTACAGCAACATATAAATCCCCCAATACAGATTTATGACTCAGGACACCAACGAATGAGCAAGCAACGATAAAAAACCTCCTGTGTAAACACTTATTAGCCTGTCTTCATATTTCTTCATCATCTAACAGACAGACAGTCATACTCATCAAACTGGTGTAGTGTAGCTTCGCTGGGATGGCTGAGTCACAATGCCTAGTCTCACTGTGTATTCAGACAAGCTATTGCCTTCAGGTCACACTTGACAACCCGATCTCTTGTCAGACTATAGGGCGGTGTGTTGAGTGCTGCCTTTCCACCAGTAATGAGGTACTATAGTGAATCAGCTCTAAGTGCATGTTTTCAATGGGATGTACTCTCACACTCAAACACACACATTTACACACACACACACACACACACACACACACACACACACACACACACACACACACACACACACACACACACAGAGCGTTGCCATGATCTCCCTGTCCTTGATCTGGGTCATGCTCTCAGCAGTTGAGAAGGGCTCTCATTTGTGTGTGTGCCCGTGTGCACTCACCCTGTGCGCTAGTTACTTGCTGCAGCCCCAGAATGAGATCAGAAATGTGGCTCCCCTGTTGTGAAATTCATCTGGTATAATGCAGTGACAAACAGCAGGAGAGGAAGTACTGCGGCTTTGAGTAATAACAGACAGAATAATTTTACAATACAGTATATAGAATAGAATACATACATATTTTTCCATTTGTATTGCTTACTGTAAGTACAGCATAATGCATTTTGTTAACTCTCTCACACATCTCACACACTGTGTTTTTCTCAGGTAGATAGAAGACTTCAGACAAAGAAGTAAAACCACAGAATCATAAAAATGGTCCATAAACTTCTTACATTTAACTTTTACTGCGCCTCATTAAAACCAATAAACCACAAAAATGAAGTGTAAAACCTAGATGGAGATATTATTGGATTTAATGATCAATAAACGTGTGTGCTAAAAGGTGAGTGAATGGCTTTTTGTTACTACCTCGACAACATGAAATAGTGTAAAAAAGCTAGACTGGCGATTAGCAAGTGATCTGACATAAATATACATTTTGCTTTTCCATTTAATTATGAGCACAGGATACAATTGCAGAGCGTGAAAAGCTGCTGAGGTACAACTTGTATTTTCTCGTGAGATTAAAACAAGTTCCTACAACAGCTGTCTTTGCTTTATTTTAAAACAGGTCGGGCCTACAGTATTAGCATGCATGCTTGGAGACTATTGCTTTTTGGTACACATTATTTATTTGTTCACACACACGTGAAGAAGTTTCTGGGTTTATATTTGTGGCTTTGAGTGAAATGTCTAAATATCAATTTGTCCAATACTTTGGTTTATAACATGGGTAAGCAACCTTTACTTTCCAAAAAAACAACAACAACAAAAGGTTGGAATGGAACCACAAAACATATTTGAGCCATATCATGCAATTGTTTGCCACAGATCAAGCATACTGTTAAGCAGGCAACATTGAAAAAATGAAAAAAATCCGTCCACACACTTAAATTCTCAATTTTCTTCTGAGAACGTTTTGGATTTGGACTCCATAGCTAGCTAGGGAGACTCAAGATTAGCAGCTACCGCTATAGGAAAATATAATAATAATATATAGGAAAAGGCACCAGGTCAGAATGTAATGTATGATGCACATTTTAGTTGACAAAATGTTAAATCATTTGTTTTTATTTGTTGTGTAATGGCTACACATTCTTAATATTGAAGAGTCACTTTAAACCTACAACAATGATAAATGAAAATTCATTTCCACATTATTATTTTGTCAAAGACACAGGGAGCCAGTGGAGACAGCTCTCGGTGAGTGAAGGGATGAAGTTTGATGCTGATCTCAGTGTTTCTTCTAGATTTGTAATTAAACACTTGGTGTAACAATAATAATGAAATATATAGCTGTTGGTTATTTAGCAATAACTTATAAAGGTAGGTAATTGTAAAGCTTTACTGTTACAGTAATGTTAGTCTTCATATATTAAATTAGCTGTTTGTGGAAAGAAAGAAAGAAAGAGGAACTGTGCATTTCCTTGTTTCTTACAGTATGGGTGGACAGCCCAACCTTCTGGTGATAGTGTATGCTGCCCCCAGTTTGTTTGGATTTGACAGTTGGCCAATTCTTATAGCTCCATAACGTGTGTACTGCTCTATAAGCAAGACAAAAACTTATCTATCTTAATAAAATGAAAAATAAAATACTCGTATAAGTTGTTTGTCAGCATTCTGTGATTCTATCTGAGTCTGAAGAAGACCGGTAGTTATGAGGGTGGAGGATACAGAGAAGGAAATGATGTCAGGTTACAAGACCAGTGGGGAAATATGTTTCCCAAGGGGAAACCATCATGTGACACCCAATGCCAAGAGTTGACAGCCTTTTATTTTAACCAAAAACTATACCAAATATTCTGTTTGTGTGGACTGAAAACATACTCTTGGCACTCCATGGCATGATTGCCTTTTATCTACTCCTTCATTGTCCAATGAGCCAAACCTCTTCTCCACCCTCTCTTCTTATGAGACTGCTCATCTATCTCTCTCTGACTCATTCCCTCAAATGGTTACCACTCCTCCTTATTCACCCAGCGGAGAGATTACAGGCCAGAACAGATGAGATGAAGTGCACAGCAGTGCTGAGATATGGACCTGCAGTCCACAGCAGACAGAGAAGGGGAAGATGACATTGTGCTGAAGTGCAAAAATTTTAGCTAAGTGTGTCATAGTTTTATGCCAGACCTCACAAGGTGTTTCATACAATCTGGATATGGACCATAGAGTGATTGTAAGAGAGATCATTAATAGATATTTACAAAGCCAGAATAGTTTTCAAAAGCCAAACGGCAGCACAGTGTCCTTGCTGCTACGTCCTTGCAGGAGCAGTCAAACCAACTGATTAATGATCCAGGAGTAAGAAACACACACAAAGGCGAGCAGGTACTTTGGGAATCAATTCATCACACTTTATTTTGTGTGACCCCAGCTGATGTAGTGGCTAGAGAGCAGCACAATACTCTCAGCACAAATGTATGAGTGTAGTATAGAACACATGCACGCACGCACGCACGCACACGCGCACACACACACACACACACACACACACACACACACACACACACACTCTCAGGTAATGGCCTTACCAGACGAACGCGGCTAAAAAATCAAAACCATCGTTTCTGCAAGGGCTTTATTGGTGTGAGTGAGATTGAGGAGAGACTCAGTTTGTGTGTGTGTACAAGTTATAGGGATGCTGTATGATTATCAGGAAGATTTTCCCCTTCTCTTATATTTTTTTACACTGGATGTAATTAAATCAAAGAAAGCATCTGACTTCTGCAGCACAGGGTGAAGGACATGTTTGGGTTATCCCATGCTATGTTTAGACATACTGAGGACGCTTCATTAAGTGTGGGGTCACTAGGCCATCCCTCTAAAGGCTTGCAGGTGCTGGTCGAACTGGTCAGCCTTTTCTTTGGCTGTAAGAAGCTGCTTTTCACACCACTGAACCAAAGCCTGCTGCAACATCTTCACACGCAAGCCATGGAACTGCGCAATCTGGGAGAAACACAGCAAATGCATGTTAATACATACAGTCAACAAATGGGATGCCGCACAGTACCCTTAAGATGGGTAAGTGTGAACACAGAGAATCCATGAATTTGATGTTTTACCTCCTGTTTAGCCACTCCACAAATGTGATCAAACTCTGTCTCTGCTGCTTTCTTCACCTCCTCCATCTGATGGATATTGAGAGCATGTCATCATCATCATATACTTGGTCTTCATCAGCAAGAATAGACAGACTATACTTGCAACTAATGTCTTCAAAACATTCCAGCAGAATGTTACTGACATCTGCTGGTCACAACAAGGCATGTACATCTGAGCTAGTGTCACTGTGTTCTTATTATACGGGAGTGCAGACACTTACAGCAGCCTTCTTTACAGGTTTGGCCTTCTCTGCATTCCTCCTGGCGGTCTCTAACTCCACTAGCTTACAGGTTCTTCTGAAGAGCATTTCCTGCATTGGAAATAATAAATAAATAGATAAACAAATAATCACGTTGCACACAGGAATATTAGTGAGACCTTTCAGTGTCACGTCATACGTCAATAGAAGGCTAAGATTCAAGGTGGAGAGACAACGTACATAAGATGAAGAAAAAAAATTACTTAAAAACTAGGCTACACACCTTTTCTGCCTCCTGGTAGCGTGACTCCAGATCCAGGCCTACTCCAAGAGTGTTCACGTTGTTTTCAGCAACACTTGTCATATTTTTCTGCCAACACACAAATATGTCACTTGCCATGATTTATTGCTTTGTATTTATATTACTACTATTACTTTTACTATTAATTATTCTATTTCTATAAGGACAAACAGCTTACCATCATAGAATTAAAGACTTCTGATAATTTTACACAAGCCCTGAAAAAAAAAAAGTGCTTCATTTTCAAATGACACTCATTTATAATACCTTGTATGCAATGTTCAGATGCATTAACTTTAAGTACATATGATACTGGCATGGGACCAACACTATTATTGTCTCACTTAGAGAAGGCCTGTTTGTCAGGATCCTCCCCTTGTTCCACACAGAGCTGCAGAGCAGCTGAGAAGTGCCCACAGGCCACTGCTATTTCTGCAAACAAAACACATAGAACACATATTAACATCAGACTTGGGACAAATACAGTAAAGTCCAAACAATGCCAACTGATTGGCACTTCTTGTCTCTCCCAAACTTATAAATAAAAAACAGCTGTTTTCTTACTTTGCTCAGTTAGCACCACATCCAGGAATCTCTGCAAGAAAAACGAAAAGGTTAAAGAATCAAACAAGAGTGTATTTGGTTCTGAAAACAAACAGGTGAGTCACCTCAGTTGCAGTCTTGGTACAGCCAGTTAAAACAAGGTTATGATCCCGTTCAGTTTGAAAGAACTCATCCACATCCTGCAGACACAGATATTATGGCATTAAAACCTAACGTGCAGGTATAGAGGCTATACATTTCTGTTTGTATGAGTCCCAGTTGTGTACCTTATGGCTTTCTTTCCTCATCTCTACCACAGCTTGACTCAGTCGGTTGAAAATGTTTTTCCTTACTCTCTGTCTGCCTGGAGGCTACAAGGACACAAATAAACACTTTCAACGTTAATACTGTTTAAACACAATATATTAAATCTTCCCAACATGTGAGGAAGCCTATAAGACAGACACACTGTGTTAACGACAAAGTGAAACTCTAATCTTTAGTGCCAAATCAATATTGTCTCAGCATTAGAAAATGGGTATTGGGTACATAAGTTTCAGAATTAACACGTACACACATTTGTTGAACATCCATAAATGTTTTTTTGTCCATGCCCCAACAAACTGTGGTTGTGCTTGTTATACAGCATTCCACACACAATGACAATCTGTCTCGATCAGACAGGAAAGTATTATCATCCATACCTGAAACAACCTGACACAAACTCTTTTATACAGTGAAGAGGCAGAATTACTCAGTGTGCATGTACCTGCATACATACATGCATGCCTGATACAGAGTTGAAATAATCCATTGCTTTGTAAAATAACAACATAATAACTTTTATCTGTATTAACTCCATCCTGTGTCTCATCAATCAATCAGTGTAAAACTGAAAAACACTTCCTCGTTAAAGGCTACAGTCTGACAATAGCATACTGTATTATATGCCTCTAAAAAAAAGGTTTAATGGAAACAGATTAACCTTGATGTTACTTGCAGGCTGAGAGTTTGTATTCTTATTTATAAAGCACTTTTCTAGTCTTCCTACCACTCAAAGCACTTTATAATACATGTCTCATTCACCCACATTCATATACTGATGGGACAGCCTTTGGGAAAGATTTGTGCTTCAGTATCTTGTCCAAGGACAGTTCAACATGCGAACAGGAGGGAGCCGGTGTGGGAAATTTCTGAGCTATGTATGGGCAGAAAACTGTTAGATAAGCCAGAGTTGTATAATGAATTAATCAGCCGAGGCGGAATAAATGACCATAACAGTGTTGGAAAGTGAATAGAATATATTATGTAACGTGTACGTCTCAATACTCTGTAGAGTCGTATAATCATAAAGTAACACTTGTAAATGTATAGTTTGTAGTTATACCTGCCAACAAGGATGTGTTATTGAAAACAGGAGAGCTGTGAGAGCTTTGTGTGTGTGTCATCATCTGCTCCTAACATTACCCAGCGTGTACTCCAGCACAATGGTGGCATGTGACGAACAACCCGGTCAACACAACCTGCAGCACTTAGATAGGGGCAGGTTTTGTTAATTTGGAGACCAAGCTGAAGATGTAAGTCTGTGGCCCATTGTCAGTGTCTCAGAAATAGATATACCGTGTGTTGGGAAAGAAACTGTGAATGGTAATGGAAAAGGTAGTAATGACAGTATAAGAAACCCTGTCATTTTCAGTTGTGCTTAAGAAATCTCAGTTTGTTGTATTTTTAGTTGATACAATTAACCTACAGTGGACTGAAGAAATCTGCTCTCCTCTCATGATTTCATAGTGTAGTTAAAACATTAAAACCTCACTGCTTTGTGAGGAAGAGAAAAAAAAACACCACCTCCAAACCAGACAAAAGTCCACCTATAAGTTCAGGAACAGCCTTCTATAAAGTCCACATTATCACTGATAAAATGTGACCATAACTTATTGAAGACACAACTGGTGTATCAAGTTAAATGTTGTCACATGTTAAGTTGACCTCCATATATTTGGAGCGTACTATATTTGTCACATGAATCCCTCCATTTTCTCTTCTGAAACAGTGTCAGTGAACGTTTAACCATTTATTATCTGTCTCTCTCGTAAAAAGGTATCACATTGCACCCTTTTGTAACATAAACTTCTTTATGATTTAAAAAACAAGTAAAAGTTGTGTCCACTTACATCTGAGCTTGTCAAGAAGATCTCCAAAGCTTTATTTTTGCAGAGTATGCTGTGTGCAGCGATCTGCTGGAGGAAGTTTTCCAGTGCTTTACAGTATGGCTGCCACTCTTCTAAACCAAGGAAACCTGCAGAAAAAACATCAACATTTTAAGCCTAACACTTATCACACATAATATATCACACTCTTGCTGTACAACCAAATAAAATGGGAAATATATTTGGTTTATTTTACTTTTAAATCTTTCAGTTATTTGTTTTTACGGTAGTCGTCTTGGTCTACTCACCAAGCTGCTTCATAACTTTGGCAGATGCATTCACCTGAGCCTTTGCAGGAAGAGGAGGAAACTTGAAGAAAAAAACAATAGTATATTTTTATTACTGCCCATATTGTGTTTCCTTCTATTGTTTTTTTTTTCCTAAACCAGACCTTTATTTAATTATGTGCCTGGCTCAGGATAGGCACTTAAATTTTGTTATTGCTTTTTGAACTGCGCAGTGCTTGTATTTACAGTATGCAAACCTTATGTCCTGGATCAACTATTACTTCGAATTTGCTTGTGTAACACTTTAAAAACACACTCATACTAGGAAGTAGCATACAAAAACGACTTCCTAATTTTCTTAAATTTCTTGAGAAATGTATCAAATCATACCAAAAAGCTTCTACGTAATTTTCTACAGTACTGAGACAGCTGGAACACTAGTAATACTAAAGTAAGCTTCCTGCTCACAAAGGAAAGAAGGATGTAAGGAAGGGAAAGGAGGAAACATTTTTAAAAAATAAAAAAATACTCCCCATAACTTGAATGGCAGCAGTAGCGAGTTAGTGTATTAAGTAAACAACTAGATTTTTTATAGTCTAAGTTACAAAACTTAAAAGACAGGAGACAGTTCGAAACAAGATAACATAAAGCTAATCCTCCTCCTCCTTATTGTCAGAAAAGTGTGCATTAGTTTAGGTGGCAACAGATGAAATAAAGTACTGACTATGACTCCCTGTATCCCGGGCACATCCTCCTGAGAGAACAGGTGCTGTTGCAGCCATTCAAAATCATCATAGGTCCGGTCCACATGGTACTCCCCTGTCCCAGACAGCTGGCACGGACAAGAGACAACATGTCTGTCTTTGCAATATCACAAAAGACCCATCTTAGTGGTTTACTGCATTAATGTAGATCTAATGTTAGCAACGCTTGCAGCAAATAACAAGAAAGTGAATCATTTTCTTACCTTCTGGGATACGATAATGAAGGTAAGTGTGTCCCCTTCTTTCAGCACCTCTGTTACCTTAATGTTATCAGCATGGACACTCAGAGTAGGTGTCACTTCTTTTACCTCTTCCTGTAATACAAAATGTGGCTATTATCAATAAAATAGCTGGGAGTGAAAAACTTCACTTAGCCCACACTGTACATATGGATATCTGCCTGGTGTAAAAAGCCTGTCACATGACACTCAAGAGGTTGTCAGAAAGAACCTTTTCAAGCAAACTTACCATCATTGTCAAGTTTGAAAGTCAATGTTTCCAGTCTGTAGTTTCTCTGCTTTGTAGAATGTTTAAATATCCTTTTATCCCGATAAAAGTGCATAAAGCTGTAAAGATCGTTTGTCTTATGATGGCTTTAGTGCACTCACGCTCCAACTGCTGAGCAGGCACAGGATATCCTCTGGGTCAAAGTGCACACTGGTCCTGGAGTATGGAGTAAATGGAGAAAAGCAGTGCCAATTCTAAAGTGCTGGCGCAGGGAAAACGATGAGTAACTGGTGTGTTAGTCAGTAACTCAGGACCTTCGACACACCCACACAGGAAAAGTGGCATAACGGTCCAATCAGTTCCCCCAGCTGTCAACCCTGCAACCCCACAACCCTGTAAACAATCACTAAACTTAGAAGTTATCCTATTAAAAAGGCAGTATGCACACACTTACCTAAGAGTCAATTTAGCTGGATTTCTACATACTGAATACAAGACAAAGATACTGATATGACAATTTAATATGGAGACTTTATTATCAATACAAGACGATACATTCAAACACAACAGTCATACAGGATACAGGACAAATATACCGGATATCTAATAGTGGTGATCTTCTTCATATTCATCCCCATCCCCAAAATAAAAGCTGAAGCCAGGCTCTTCAAAAGTGTAATGTTCATATAAGCCATCTTCATCCTCCCCATCCGGATGAAAGCTCCAGTGGAAGTATGGCTCCTCCACAAAGGGACTGTCATCGAAGTTGTGGAAGAGGTCTGCAAAACTGAAGTGGAAGTTTCCCTCTTGTTCATCCTCAGGGTCAACAGAGGCGTCATTATTTAGGAAAGCCTCATGGCCCACGCTGTCATACAGCCTCCTCTTCTCCTTGTTGGAGAGCACCTTGTAGGCTAGGAGAGGAGAAAACAGGGCTGAGACAGAGCAATGCAAGTAGACTAAGGTACAAGTTCATAAGGTGCAGGGTATCCACTTATTTTCTGTCTGCACTGGGTATACCTACATATAAATCCCTTCTGATGTGCATTATCCAGTAATGTTCTGCAAACGAAACTCTCTAAAGATAATATAACGATCTTTACTGCCTGAATTCAAGCTGCAGAACAGTGGCATAAACCACAACCACCAACTGACACACCTAAACCACTGATTAGGTCCACCTAGCTAAAAGCAATTCAGTCTGATGCAACAGCCAACCCTAACTTTTGGAAGGTCATAATATTGAGTTGAAAAATGCAACGCTGTTAAATTGTATTGCATCCTTGTATACTATGTTTTTAATATCGCCCAGCCCATTTATAGCAACCATAACAATACAGTTGAATCTGTAGTGTTGACAAAAGGCAAATTAGGGTTGTCTATTAAGTATAAAGAGAGCATCTGTTTTGAAAGTGACTGTATTTCACTTGTGTAAACTGCATATACAATATAGATTAGGCTACACTATAAAAAAAGGTTCAGTTTGTTGCAGGCACGTTTTACCTTCAGCAATCTCTCTGAAAGTCTTCTCTGCATCCGCGCTCTTGTTCTTATCGGGGTGGTGCTTTATGGCCAGTTTGCGGAAATTCTTCTTTATCTGGTTGTCAGTTGCGGTTTGCTCAACATTGAGAGTATCATAGTAATTTCTGCTTGTCCCAGAGGCAGCAGGCAGGAGTTCAGATAAGCAGAGCTGCAGGACCACGCAGACTTGCATCCAGTGTGAAACACCTTGCACTGCCATGCTGAGCACGGATGAGGAACTGACACAACTGTTAGACACAGGAGTTACCTGGAGTGCAGCTATCTTGCGGTGTGACAGCTCATCTTCATGTGTAGGCTACATATAGCTATCGTGTCTACACGTCAGCAGTAGCAGCTACAGGCTACTGTTGGCTTACACTTGGCACACGAAATAGTTTACTGACAGCTTTGAGACACAAGATGTTACGCCCATTTTGAAGTAACGCCCAAAACGTGGTAGAGAAAGTTTATAAAATGAAATTGCTCACTCATAGCTCACCGTCGTTTAGCTATAGGACAGCCACTGTGTCTTCTATGCAACTTGTTAACCGTGTAATAATTCATTTACCGGCGAAAAGGCAAACCAAAATAAACATATTTCAGCGTCATTCGCTATAATCGCCACTAGAGGGCGGTAAAAACAAACACAGTGAGGAAAACGGAGAAGAAGAGCCTCGGCTTCTTCGTTGGTGGTAAAAGATGCATTGAGAGATGTGGTAAACAGCACCGGGGCCTTGAAGAACTGCCTAATGAACACACCCCTGATCATTGGTGTTGTGAGCGGAGATAACGGTGTGAAATTCAGTGGCTTTGATGCGACGAGTTCCTGCGTGGAGTTCGTCGTCTCGCACTCTGGATCCTGCTCATATTTTCAATTTGGTAAGAAAACATTAGCATTTAGCCAGTTAGCCAGATAATGCTCGCTAGCTTGACGGTACGACGGATTGGTAGCAGCACTTTAGACGTAACGATACTTCCTCAGGTATATGAGACGACATATTGTGCTTTATCTACATAAATGTAGCTTCGAGTGATAGTTACAGCGTCGGCTGCTGCTCACTAACCAGTGACAACAACAACAACAACAACAACAACACTACCAGTACTACTTAATATTTACCAGGTGTTGTCACGTGCTCATATTTCAGCCCTCTCCTTATCCAGTTAAAACATATTTAATGACTTCCGGTAGTTTCATATATCCCATAGCGTCATCTAAAGCTCGTGTTTTACTTTGGGATTGTGTTTTTATCTTGCACATATTTAGTTGGTTGCATTGCTCCAAAGAAAAAGTTATTTATGATGTGTTACCCTGTGTGTGTGTGTGTGTGTGTGTGTGTGTGTGTGTGTGTGTGTGTGTGAATGTTTGCCAGGTCACGTCAACCCCCTCCCATACACATGAGTGCCGTTTTCTCCTCGCGCTGGGCCGAGCGCCATGCCTGACCGGGACACTTCCTACCTGTCAGGTGGTGGTGGGAGTGCTGGTATTCTGGGTGAGGAAGGGGGACCTGTGTCTGGTTTAGCAGGGGGCTCGGCGGAGGGCAGAGGAGGTTCAGGAGGAAGTGTTGGAGGCAACGTCTCTGGCTCTGCGAGCATGGGGGGAGGAGGGGCACTTGGAAATGGCAACAGCTGTGGGAACGGTGGAGGTGGAAGCCAAGGTGCAGGACTGGCGCTGGACGGTGTCTGCAGGGACTTCATACGCAATGTCTGCAAGAGAGGAAAGCGCTGCCGCTTTAGACACCCAGACTTTAATGAGGTGCCAGACCTCGGGGTGCAGAAGAACGAATTCATCTTCTGTCACGACCACCAGAATAAGGAGTGTATGCGCGCCAACTGCCGCTTTGTCCACGGCTCTAAAGAGGACGAGGACTATTACAAGAAAACAGGAGAGCTACCCCTCAGACTAAGAGGGAAAGTTGCAGCACGACTGGGCCTCTCCCCCATGGATCTCCCCCATAGCCGTGGGGAGGTCCCTATCTGCAGAGACTTCCTGAAGGGAGAGTGCCAGAGGGGGAATAAATGTAAATTTCGCCACGTCAAAAAAGACTATGAATATGAGCCTTCCAGGGTTGGAGTGGGTGGTGTTGTGGGGCCTGGCGCCAGTGGAATGGTGAATCCTGGGGGAGGCATAGGTGGTGGAGGAGGAGGTGCCTGTGGAGGAATGCAGGGACTTGTGGGAGGTGGAGGTGTAAGTAATATGATGGGGATGGGTTGCCCTAGCCTGGGTGGGTGCAGAGATCCAGGTATCTCAGGAGTTGGGGGAGTAGGTGGAGGTGGGATAAGCGGTTGTCTGTCCATAAGTTCTGCAGGTCAACGGCGTTATGACAGGAGCGCATGCTCAGTGTATGACCCTCTGCTTGAAAGTGGGCTGTTTGATCCTGGCTCCCTAGAGGCCTCTATGGACCACACTGCTCTACAGTTGAAGAGGCGGCGGTTGGAGGGGCTGCGCCTGACAGATGGGAGTGGAGTTGGGCACTATGAGCTGGGAGTTCAAGCGACCTTGCCACCTCGTCCTCTGGAGTATAGGTTCCTGGAGGAAGAAAACTCCCTGCTGAGGAAGAGAGTGGAAGAGTTGAAGAAGCAGGTTAGAAGGAGAAATGGGAAAAAAAAACATGAATTGGATTTCTGATAAATCTTTTTTTTTATAAATTATAACGGACTGAAAAACCTTTCCCACATAAATAGTATTTCAGACATTTTTGTATTTATCATGAAATATGAGTTGTCTTTTTTAGCAACTAATACCAGATGCAGTGGTGTGCAAAGTAACTGCCACATTTGACGGTATAATGCAGTTCAGTACAATGTGTTAACAAAGTCAAAGTCTTAACAAACAGTTGAATTTGAAGATCAACAAAGGTAGAATTTATTGTAGGCTGTTGTATCTGATTGCATTATATTGTCAAGTGTACACTGTACGCTTTCTGTACTGAATTAATTATAATGGTCATTTCACATGACACTATCATGAGATTATTATTATTATTATTATTATTATTATAGTGTCAAATTCAACTTTGGTCATAATGACTTCAGTTGACTTCATATATCTCGCTGCCAACTCGCAGGAAAAGTAACGTTTCTTTGGCGGCTGCACAGGAGATAAAGTAATTAGTCAATCAATTAGTTGATCAACAGACACTACTATATTGATAAACGACTGACTCATTTTTAGTACAGATCTCAAATAATTGATTAATGTTTTCATTTTTGACCATATAAATTGGAAGTTCACATACATAATTGAATAGTTGATGAAAAATAAGCATTAGTTTGTTACCTGATCACAAATTGTTATTCCCTGGCCTGTATTTAAATTAGCTGTCAGTTTCAGAGTGATAGCAACTTCTACATCCTACTTTTTTGCTGACATTTGGTTGACAGGCTGTACTGGAAGAAAGAGGCGTGTCCAAGCTATTTATTCAACAACAAAATGTAAAAGGTCAACATGGACCAACTAGTGGTTGAAGAACGTTTTATTTGCAGATGAAACAATGTTTTAAAGCAGTAGTAGGAGACTTGTAAAGAGATAGCAGCATGTGAGATTAATGCTGTAATGAATGCGCTCTGGAGTTTCTGACTTAAACAGGATCAACTGCATTTTTACCACAGAAAAGCATTGCATGTTATCCCTTTTTATTTTTAAGCAGCAGTGACTCTAAACAAGAGATTGATCAAACCTGTTTTGACTCCAAAGAACAGCCGACTTGGAAAAGATTTTCCTTTCACAGTCACCTGACTGAAACCACAATGAATCTGTTCAGGAACATTTAAAAAAGGAAAATGCATCATCATAAGACACAGACGCAGTACACAGAAGTGTATTTGATCATTCTGCATAAATATATAGAATCAATTATAGTTGGTGGACATACGGTGTTACTGATAATATGTTAAGCCTTTTTCTTTTTAATGTAAAGAAGCTATAATGTATTTAATATAGTTTTAAATATATAATTTTACTGTAACTTATGGCACTTTTTTGCAACTCATTCCATGGACCCTTTTTCCTTCCTCTAATCTATTCCCCGTGTGTTTCTCAGGTTTCAAATCTCATTGCCACAAATGAGGTCCTTCTGGAGCAGAACGCCCAGTTCCGAAGCCAGGCCAAAGTCATGACGCTGTCCTCCACTCCTGCACCCACTGAGCAGAGTCTGGCACCCCCTGTGGGTGCAGTAAGTTCCTACAATCATGGCATTGCCCAGACTCACACTACCCTGAGCAGCGCTGGACTGCAGCCTCGGCCTGTCACGCAGCAAGACCTGGTAGCTTCTACCGGCGCCCCCGCGGCGCCCCCGTCTAATGCTGCCCCACCTTCAGCCCCTCCACCCCACCTCAACCCTGAGATCACCCCCCTTTCAGCTGCCCTTGCACAGACCATTGCTCAAGGGATGGCACCACCTGTTTCTATGGCACCCGTGGCTGTATCTGTGGCCCCGGTGGCAGTGTCCATGACGCAGCCTCTGCCTGGCATTACCATGAGTCACGCCACCACCCCAATGGTGTCGTACCCCATTGCAAGTCAGAGCATGAGGATCACCACTCTGCCTCACTAACTGATTAAGTGCAAGACTGTAGTACACACAAGTCAGACTGTAGCATCCTTAACATGGATTTTTAATTTTTATTGTCTTATTTTATGTTTATGAGACTCAACTGACGGCAGATCAGTGACTGCCTGTACCGCTAACAGTGAGGTGTAGGCACTTGTCCACCAGAGGGCAGGATAGAGACATTTTCAGTCTCCTTCACTCTGTGTTCTGTGGCAACATCACAAATACATTTCCCACAGACTGACTGATCTGTGAACAGCCTTTGTACCAAAGGGATCTTCTCAAAAATGGCAACAAACTGCAAATATGTGAGGTCATCCACAGTGTTGAATTCATTTCTTCAAGACTGTTGTGCCGTCCTTGTGGGGATAATGGTGACTGGAAGCTTGTGTTTATATTTTGTGGGTTGCTCTGGTGTAAATTAACTTTGGTACTTTGCACATTTAAAAAAAATAATAACAAACCCTCAACAATGAATCTTGTGTTGTCTGTCTCTTTGTTTACATCTGTCTTCTGTTCACACTTGTATATGCACAGAAGGTAAGATAAAAGCCACGATCAGAGAGAGAGAGAGAGAGAGAGACAGTTTCTTGTGGCAAATGCTCATGTTGACATCCCACATAGCTTGGGCTGTTTAGGTGGAGTCGCATTGTGTAAACTTTAATATAATAGCCTCTGCTTCTTCAGTATCCTCACATCCGTGTGGCTGTTTAAACAAGAGGAATACATGTGGTGTTTGTGTACCATAAGCACTGGGAGGCATGGCCGGGGCCTGTGTGCTCACACCGGATTTAGGGATTGGGGATAATGCCCAGTCTGCTGTTTTTAAAACAAACTGGAGCAGCAGAAAACAATTGTCCACAAGTACCTATGGGTTAAGGTTTTGGCGAAAAGCAATTTTCTACATGGCTGTATCACAATATTTTCTCCTTGAAATTCAGTTGTTCTGTGCTTTATCAGACAGATACAGTTGCGTTTTAATATACAATGAAAGTTGCGTTTGAGTGACACACGTAAAGCGTGGAAAATGTCGGTTTTCCACAACGTAATGCTGCAGTAATTACAGTAATTACTACAAATTTGATGACTGTCTTGCCGCAGCAGCGAAAGAGTCAAAGATGCGTTTTTTTAGCTTCAGCCAGCGTGTGGGCGTGTTTTCGTCCAGATAACGGGACTGGGCGAGCAGCAGAACTTGTCTCCCACTTCTTCTGGACCTGTGTTTATTCAGTAAAACTGCTCCAACTCAGCTATAACAAAAACAACCACGTTTCAATAACGTAAAGATGCGATACGGACCGACAGTGAACTAGCCAGGGGACACGCAACGAGCTGCTGTACGTTGGTTCAAACGGTCGTTAGCTGACGTTAGAAAATGGGACGTTAGAGTAAACCGTCTGGTCCTTTTCTAACATTAATATATCAAACTGAATATTTGTATCCGGCGGTAACGTGAACTGCGTATAAACATTATTTCTTCGCTTCAGAAGATACCACCATGCAGAGCGAAAAATCCGAGCCGAGTGAGCCCAAAGGTGCCGTGTGTCCGAGCTCAGGCGACACCGAGAAGAAAGCACTAAGTGCCGAGGAGACCGGAGCTCCCAAATCTAAGGGGATAAGTGCAGTCGCGGTTCTCTGGACGTTTGGGAAATGCCTGGGAGCCTTGCTGCCCGTCTACCTGGCCGGGTACTACCGGGTCAGCACCAGTCTGTTGGTGTTCGGCATGATGGTCTACACGGGATGGAAACATGCCCGAGAAGCCAAGGAGGCACGTCTGAGGTCGGCCATACAGTTCCTCAGCAACGAGGAGGAGTACACATCCATGAAAGTGTCCAAAATCAAGCGAGATCTTCCTGCGTGGGTGAGAAATGACCCTACAACTTGTCAGCGTGTGTCTCCTTCCATTAAAAATCATTGTTCACCAGCTCTCTATTGTTCTACCTGCGCCCACTTTGACCTAGAATAACCCCACGTTAAGGTAGCACTGAACCCTAAAATCTTAACATCTTTAGAGGGACTTCACAAGGGGTGATAAGAGGTTTGTTCCAGTAAACCAGCCCAGTCATAGACTATTTTTAACTGGTAATGGCATGACTCCAGTTTGTTAGTGTTCTGGACATTTTCTTTGGAATTTTTGAAATTTTAGTAGGCTGGTAAAACTTTTAGTCCCTATCAGAAAGCTTTTAGGGAAATGGTTCCCACTGTTTACTTCCTCTCATGGAAAAAGTTACACACTGCTCTTGAAGTCTTATTTTTTCCCTCTATTAAAAACCCCAGCTTTTTCTAATGTGACAGATGCAGTTAAGTTCCTTATTGTAACATGCATGCAGAAATCCCTTTCTTTTATATGCAGTTTGCTCCCATGTTATTTCTGCCAAGGCAGTTGCCAAGTGTGTGTGTGTGTGTGTGTTTGTATTTCAAGACTAAACTTGTTTGAGAGCATAATGGGGAAACTGAGTGCATTGCAAAAGCCATGCTTAAACCATCTAATGTTTGGTGCAATTTTAACTAAAAGTGTATGGAAAGTGTGTAATGAATATAATAGTCTTGATTTGCATGCGTACATCCTGAGTGTGTGTGTACCCAAAATGGAAATGCTGAAACCCACATGGTGCTGTTTTGACTCAGAACATCTAGCCACACCCTGTTCTTTTGGATACATTTTTCAGTCAGTGATTACAGTGATTGCTTGCGCAACAAAACAGCATGCATACTCCAGATTAAAGTATTGTGAAAGGGGCTTCACCATGTGGCTTTCCGGTGCTGCTCTTTAGTATGCATAACAAATGATATGTGTGTGTGTGTGTTTTCTCTAAGAGTTCATCCCAACAAATATAACTCGAGAGAACATTTTAAAGCTCTTATATTGTGAAAGTATTATCACACATGACCTTAATGCAAAAGTAAACCATGCAATCTTATGCTTTCCTTTTTTCTCTTGAAAGTATTTGCTCAGTATGAGATGAACAGTGCTACAGATGACATTTACAGACCTGAATCAGCTACGGCTGAAACATTTCCCTATCCTGTTATGTGTTTATCAGACTCTGTGTACAGTTTAAGTATGTACCCTTATTGTATTTTGTTCCTTCAGGTCAACTTTCCAGATGTTGAGAAGGTTGAGTGGCTGAATAAGGTAAAACATCAGTGGTTTCCTATTTCGCTTGACCTTTTCACCATATAATTTTACACAAAGACACTGTTTTTTTCCACCTTCATTAAGCCCACGGCAAACACACGTCTGTCTCTTCACCCAGCTGTTCTGCTGATTGACATTCAGTAAAGTGTGATACGTTAATAGCTGTAGGTAGCTGATAGACGGTAGCACTGCTGCTGTTGCGGTCATATTCCAGAAAAGGCCACACCCCCATTAGTGTAGCCACTTTGTCTGTCCTGCAGGGAGCAGGCCCAGTGCCAAGCAGCCATCTCAACATTTCCATTTCATTGCAGACTCTCTGACAGGAAGGGGGAGGAGCTGCCCAGCCCCCAAACTAAATAAAACTGCAGCCATTGTCTCCCCCCACCCACCCACCCCCTTTAGCTCCTCTAGCCCAGAGAAATTAGGACCATTAATATAAACATGCAGAAATAAAAGTATTCATGGTAACAAGACCACGAGATCTAAGTGCCAGAGAGCCAGACAAAGCAGAGGTTTGAGGCTGGTACTGGAGGGGGAGGTCAGCAGATTCCCTCGTTGCTCAGGCTTCATCCTTCACAGGAGCAGGCGGTTGATGACTCATTCTCCATTTATGCCACTGACTGTAAACTAACTCTGGGGTTTTTTTTTCACAAGCACACAAGCAAACAGTGCCTCTGCATTCGGGTTTTCCCTGCAGAAATAAAGACTTCACATGTTTACATAGCAACGGTAATATTTAGTAAAAAGTGAGCACATGTAGAGCGCAGGATTCATTGTGTGGTGTAGTATGTAGGACCCAAAGTAGATGACTAACAGCTGAGGAGACTCAACTGGCTACAGCTGTCTCTGTCATTCTTGAGTTATGGCTTATGGAAGCCAAGGCATTTGACAGATCGTGTTGTTGCTATGTGGCTAAAATGACAAGGTTTACTTAAAGAAGTAGTGTCTAGTAGCAGAGATGTGCATCATGTTATTTGTCACATAAAAGAAGTTTATAACCACATTGTTGCCCGTGTCCTGCCTAGGTGCTGCAGCAGGTGTGGCCCTTTGTCGGCCAATACCTTGAGAAGCTGCTGGTGGAAACCATTGCTCCATCTATTCGAGCCTCAAGCACCCACCTCCAGACCCTCAGCTTCACAAAAGTAGACATGGGAAACAAGGTGATGCCATTGGTAGTTTTACTATAGTATGACCTTGTTGTAAAGATTTACACACAATTATACATGTTGTTTATATTGTGCAAACAAATGTGCTTTTTATTTGCTTCAGGCCATGAAGGTTGTAGGGATCAAGGCACACACGGAGAATGACAAAGGACAAGTTCTGCTAGATCTGTATATAAGGTGAATGTTCCTCCATTGCTCCTCACCGTCACCTCTGTATTACAGCTTTTAGAAGACACTATTGGAGATGACATTTTTGTTCTTGTATCCTCAGCTATGTTGGCAATGTAGAGATCAACGTTGAGGTGAAGAGATACTTCTGCAAAGCTGGAGTCAAAGGAATACAGGTCTGTCTGTCTGTCTGTCTGTCTGTCTGTATTATTTGACTGAATTACAGAGTAGCATGTCATTAGTACAAATATGTTGCCAATCTAAACTGAAATCTACTGACAATATTCGATTCTGTGAGCATGTACCCGTGGTTTTCATAAACAGCCTTTCTACCTCTGTGTCATCAGCTACACGGGATGATGCGGGTGATTCTGGAGCCTCTGATTGGAGATGTGCCCATAGTGGGTGCAGTCACCATGTTTTTCATCCAGCGGCCTGTACGTCCATCTACATTCACCTCTATTTGTCCTTTTCTTGTTGTTTTCCTGTGGCTATCATGTATCTCACTATAGTCCGGTATACTTTTCATGCTATTGATTTCTCATCAATCCTGACTGATTACATAAAGCACATTCCTCTGTCTTATCTGTTCCCAGAAACTAGACATCAATTGGACTGGACTCACTAATTTGTTGGACATCCCTGGACTCAAGTGAGTCCTGCTGAAAGAACCTTTCATTGGATGACACAATCACCACTGCGTTCTTATAAATTTACCTCACAGTGTTTTATTAGTGTGTGGGTTTCATTATACAGTTAGTCGTAAATGATGTTGATAACACAGCTGTCTATTTCCACTGAAATGCTGTTTCTCCTTTCCCTCAGTGTCATGTCAGACAGCATGATTATGGATGCCATTGCCTCCTTCCTGGTGCTGCCCAACCGCCTGGTTGTCCCCCTTGTTCAGGGCCTGCATGTGGCCCAACTACGCTCTCCTTTGCCCAGGGTAAAACTTAAATATACACAGACTACAGATAGAGAGAGACTATAATATAATTTCACATCTC